TTATATACATATATATATTATATATATAAATTTATATATATTAACAGCTTGCTGACATTACGCATATACTCATTCTTTAAACTCCCCGCTCGTCTACGCTGAGATTTTACACTTACTCACTTTTATCGGGTGACCAAAACAAACTTAACAAACTTTTTCTGAATATCTCGCACAAAATTTGTACTACAATGTTGTGATTTGGAACATATATAATTTTTAAGGGATGCAAACTGTTTGTGTTTGACATGAAAAGATCACTTTGTCTTGGAATGTTCAGTTCTGATTCTCTACAGGTCCTAAAAGATGGACCACTTTCGCCCTGGACATCAAAGAAGGCCTTTTAATTGTGCGAAACTTACGAAACGAGTCGGGGTGAGGAAATGTTCAATAGAAAAAACTCTCTGCTCTCTACAAATCTTAACCATGATCTCAACAGGCAAAGGAAGCTTGAGAAAAACTATCGGCAAAATTCTGTTAGCCTGTTGTTAGACTGAGGCCACAGGTAGAATTCTGTGACTGAGGCTGCAAACGCTCTGGCTTCACGTCCCCCCACGTTGCCACGTTGTTACCGTCACCCAACTTACAGATGTGACGGAAGCCTTCTTTGACCTATACCCGGCGTGGCACTGACTTCACATCACAATCCCCACACTTTCACGATCCGCCCTTCACCATTTTGATTTTACCGCTACAGTAAAATTGCTCTCTACAAATCGTCATTCTTCGGTCAAGGGGTGGAAATTCTAAAAATACCACTGTCAGGATGTAGAAAGCTGAAATTCTTTTTAATCAAAATTGCACTAAATTGTATTTTTAACTTCAGATTTGGATTCTGCCATGAACATTACTTAATTACCTTCTGGTGTGCGAGATGTTTTTTTCGAAAAAATAGACAATTTAAAAATAATTGTAAACACGCTGGCCTCGTCCTACAAAAATATGTTTTGACTCTTTGGGTTGTTCTCTTCGTTCTTTTTGTAGGCTCTGTATAGATCTAGTATGAGACACTGTCTTGATTCAGAACTTGAGCAGACAAGATGGAAGAAGCACTAATTACAGCGGTGTAGAAGAGACCTGCACTTTTGGATAAATCACCAGACAATTCCTCACTCAGACATTACGTCAACAAGCAGTGGGTAGACATTGCTAAAGAAGTTGGAGTGGAAAGTAGAATTTAAGTTTCATTGTTGACTGTTGTTGTTGTTTTTTAAATCACGAGGGAGAAAGGAATGTGAAGTCAGGACGTTTGTGTAATCAGCTCAAACTTTCCCTCCCCAAAATGGAGAGTTGAAAACGTGGGGAACGTGAAGCCAGTGCGTTTGCAGCCTTAGTCTTGTACTGTAGTTTGCAATATGGCGCAATCGTTGGGATCTTTAGTGGTAGGCCTAATGTGAACTAGTGCGTCACGCTACAAAAATGGGGACATCGCTGAAAATGGATTGGGGTTTTTTACGCGCTATGTAGAGCAACACTATTCTGTGGATTTATTTAAAATGAATGTCAGACAAATTCCTTTTAACTCCAAAATGTTACGTTCAAATTTAAAACACAAATCTTAGATGTGGAGGAAAATATTTACAAAAAAAGTTGTTTAGGTTGTTTTTTTGGGGTTTTTAAAAATCGCCTTGTATTAAACTTACCGCTCATCCACAGGGAGATTCTGGAGTTGTGCGTGCATCCAAAACCAAAACGCAAACTTCTTCATCAACGGAACTGCCGAGTTTTAGAAACTCTTGGAACAACATGACTTTATATATA